TGAAATACTATTTTCCCGATCCCATAATTCCAATATCCCCTTTTCTGACAAGACATATTTCTGACAATATATGACAGACTTTTCGCTGACAAACCCTTTTTTCTGAACTCCTGATCTCCCGACAAGAATCTTTTTTTTTTCTGAAGCCATTTCACTGAAAATATTTTATGATATTCAAAATATGTCATTAGTAAAATTGAATGTCAGTGTTATGACTTCGGTGAGATGGTATTTCAGTAAAATTGATTTTGGGGAGTTAAACCATAATCGATCAAATTTGTATTAAGATAAATAAGTTACGGAATACCCGATTTATTAAAGAAAATTTCAACAAATTATTTGTTTCAACCCATTTTTTTTTTTTTTAAATTAGCTTATCAAAACTTATTAATGTCAAGTATTTTCATTCATTAACAGCACACTAACATGTCTAACATTTATTTTTTTATTATATCCGTCAAATTTTTTGATACTATAATGAGAATAACTAAAATTACATTTTAATACTTGAGCTCTATTTAAATATTATCTAGGTTGATACTTGATATTTCAACTAAGTATTCAAAGTACGCATAAATAATGGTTAATGGCCGAATGCCATTGACTTTTATTTTGATTATCCTAAAAAAAAATATTTATTAATTTATAACTATGCATGCGCATTTAGAGTTTCTATATAAGTATATAAAACTTACATATTTAACAGTTGAAAATTATAGATATAATCCTTATTTAGTTTAATATTAATATCCTGAAATAGAAAATTTCAATTAATTCATATTACTGCAGTATGTATGCAAGTTTCCAAATAAGACTAGAACATAGTATACGGTTATCTAATGACCGAAATAATTGCCTGTCGAAGATCTGATTGAAAAGAGAGCCGTCTGTGAAAATTAGAGAAAAATGAAAATCTATTTAAACAGCATCTTTTACCTCAAATTTTTATCAGAATTCAATTTTCTAATAAATTATTTAAACAAATACCTTTCATGATTTAAATTATTTAAACAAATACCTTTCGTGATTTAAATTATTTTTTGTTAAAATGGTTAAATGTAACTCTTGCAATAACGACCTTCAACCAGAAGCTTTTTTTCATAAAGGAAAAGCCTATTAAACATGTGCTGTGTGTTTTATTTCTAGAGCAGAAAAAAGAACTGCAAAAAAAAATTTAGATAGTAACATCACCACGACTACTACAATAGAATCGATTACACTACAAGCTCTTAGTGATTATATAGCTGAATTAATTTTTAATGCTGATAATAATAATGGAATTTTGGTTAAGATATATTTGGATCTTAATGATGATATTTTTTCAATAGCGACATTTGATGATCCTAAATCAATAGTAAGAATAATTATTGACAAAATCAAAGAAGGAGATGATTATACCTGAACTGCTACAACATCATCTTGTCTATCAACTCAGTTTGATAATGTTGCTACATACTATTTTACATGTTCTCAATCTTACGAATTGGAGCGAGAATATAAAGAATCAAACTGAAAAAGAATTGAAAGGTTTGACTGTCATAACAAACTAATTATTCATGTTGACATTCCTGCAATGGAAGCAACAATAAAACTTCATCATGATATTCTTCATGAAAAACCAGAAGACAATACAGTATCAGAAGAAGTTAAATAAGCGATTCAAGCAAACCTTCATTTGGATCCAGTACAAATTCGAGCAATTCTTCATAATAGATTTGATATTCTAAATATAACTGCAAAACAAATTCATTACTAGTGGTCAGTATTTACACAAAATTTATATAAACAAGATGAAGACTATGTTATTTCAGCACTTAACTTCCTTAGAAATAATAATACCGGCTGTAAGCTTTGTTTCGAATTAATAACAGATAAAGTAACTGCAATTGGTTTTATAACTCCTCTGTTTAAAAATATTTTGTCAGTATCAGAAGTTCATTGTGATGCGACTTATAAAACTGCAAAAGGTCGATTTGAACTATATGGCTTTATTGGTAATATCGACGGTGCAGGATTTCCATTATCTTATTTAATTTTAAACACTATAAAAGCTCAAGAAAAAGAATCACAAGATTACTTACGAACAAATACTCTTGCTGGTTTTTTTAATTCTGTTCAGAGCCATGGGTTAAATCCTGGTTATTTTTATATTGATAAAGATTTTGCTGAGATAAATGCAGCAAAAGAGGCATGGCCAAATGCGCATATACAGCTATGCCAATGGTATATTGAACATGCAATAATGGAAAAGTTAAAAAGCCGCAAAAGAATACAACATACCAAATATTAACCTGAAGAAGCTACTGCCGAGTTTGACTTTATTAATCCAAATTTCAAGCCAGATTTAACATGTTCTGAGCCAGAATATTATATTGTATGTCCAAAAAACCTACGAAAAGATATTATAAATCTTGTTAAAAAACATTTTAATATGCATTCAAAAATTCCAATAAATGCTGATGGTCAATTATTAACACCTATAGAAATTTGAGAAAATGCAGTACGTGAATTGTATGAATTTTGTGTAAAAAAAGAACTTATTATATTATGGGCATACTTATGGTCTTCATGGTATAAAATGTCACGATGGTGTCTTTGGACATATTCAACTCATACAACAATACCAGTTGGAAAAACAAATATGATAATCGAATCACATTGAAGAGTACTCAAGCATTGTTATTTTAATCGCTTTAATCGACCGCGATTAGATTATCTTGTATGGGTTATTTGTTCTCGTGCTTTATCTGACCAAATAGATCGTTTTCAACAAATACAACTTGGTCGAGTCACACCAAAATGGTTTGATAAATTCAAAAAAAGCTGGAATCAACTTGCTGCAAGACCTATTACTGATGATACAAATGAACATTATATGATTGATTTGACTTGTTGGGTATGTAGTTGCCCTTCATTTCTTCTTAGTCGATTTCTTATTTGCAAGCACCTAGTTCATCATGCAATCGAGAAGACAACGCTACAAAATTCAGAAATTAAACTTATATATAAAAATTTTAAATGACAAACAGATTATCTATTTCTTATTTGGGATGGTAGTAAGCCAGATGATATGTTACTTACCCCAGATTTTAGTTTGCAAGTACAATCTAGCACAGCTTTTAGTGCTGATGGTGATAGTGAAATGGTCGACCCTGAGATCTATCAACAATATGAAAGCAAAGTGGCTGAATTAGAGTATCTAGCAAGCCATCTTAGAGAAGAACTATCTATTAATAATATATGACATGTTAAAAATGTAGTCGAAAATATAAGTCGAATATTCAACATCATTAATGATATAAAATCATCACAGCATAATTCAAAACGTAGTAATACCTGGAAAGCGAAGCCGTGGACTATGTTTTTGTAAAATTACTAATTTTTTTTAGTTCACAAAATCAAAAGTTTTGAATTACTACTTTCCTTATATTATTCTTTTAGTTTAATCTATTTATTTTTCTCAACTCGTCTCCGGCAGTTATCTAAAATAGGTTGGTTTTAATCTGGCATTTTAGAAATTTAGTTAGTTGTTATATTTGATTTTTAATTAGTACTTTTAGATTATTGAATAATTATAAAGTATCAATAAAAAAAATTTGGTTTACCTTTAAAAAAAAAAAAGATTGATCTATTTTAAATTAAAAAAATATAAGTAGTTCAATATCTAATAAAAGTCTTCGATAAAAAAGAACTTGATAAAGATTTCTACAAGTTAGAAATCAAAAATTTTATAATACAGTAGTAAAGGGGTCTTTTGTAAAAGAAATCAGAAAGAGTTCGATCAAAGTGTCTTACAAAGGTTTTTTAAATGATTATCACTGATTATATCAGTACTGCAGAAAAGATGTACTACACCCTGGCCTCGATATGGAACACCAAGCCAAATTCGATAAATTTTTTTTTATTTAAATTCTACAAATTTGCAGATTCAAATAAAAAAAAAGTTCATCAAATTTGGCTTGGTGGTTATCAAGTTACCTTCGCTCAAAGTCATAAAAACAAAATGTTTATTAAAATATAAGTTGCGCCAAAATTTTTTTCAAACTTGAACGAAGATATCTTGATAACCACCAAGCCAGTTTCAATGAACTTTTTATTTGAATTCTACAGATTAATAGGATTCAAATAAAAAAAAAATTCATTGAATTTGACTTGGTGGTTGTTGAGATACATTTGTTCAAAGTCTTAAAAAACTCTAAACGTCTATCAAAATAGAAGCTGCGCCAATTTTTTTTTAAACCTCTAAACAACAACCACAAAGCCAATTCAACAAATTTTTTTTTATTCGAATCCTACAAAACTGTAGAATTCAAATAAAAAATTTTATCGAATATGGCTTGGTGGTTATCGAAACACCTTCGCTTAAAGTCTTAATAAAAACTCAAAACGTTTATCAAGATAGAAGCTGTACTGTAAATTTTCAAACTTTAAACAAAAGTATTTCGATAGCCATCGAACCAAATTCGGTAAACTCTTTTTTATTTGATTCTACTGATTCATAGAATCTAAATAAAAAGAGTTACCGAATTTGGCTTGGTGGCTATCAAGATATCTTCGTTCAAAGTTTGAAAAAATTTTGGCGCAGCTTTTATCTTGATAGACGTTTTGAGTTTTTTTTAAGACTTTGAGCAAAGGAATCTCGATAACCACCAAGCCAAATTCGATAAATTTTTTTTTATTTTAGTTCTACATATTTGTAGGATTCAAATAAAAAAAATTTTATCAAATTTGGTTTAGTGGATATAGAGAAACCTTCGCTCAAAGTTTAAAAGATAATATACAAAAAAGTGACAAAATTATGAATTATCACTGATCTACGTCACGTGCTGCGGAAAAAACGTACTATGCCCTGGCCTAGTTAGATAGCATATGAGAACTATCTCTAAACGACAAGTGCTGTAGCCCAAATTGTTACCTAAATTACAAGTTAAGACTAACCTGATTACCAACTTGGTGCCTGCTATAGCAAGATTTCCCT